GTGTAGATAAATTTCTTGTAACCTAAAATGACTAATAAAAATGCTAAATGAAAGTTGATTCAATAGCTCATGTATATCAAGTAGGGTTGAAAACTAATTTTTATTGAGCAAAAATACTATAGAACATATATGTGGCACCAAAATAAAGCTTGAAGTAAAAACTTTATAGATGGCAATGCAACCTTTGCTGTAGAAAAATAACATTGTTAGTTAGTGTTTCCAATAGCTTAGAAATGGAACTTGAAATCAAAACTAGCTTAAAGACTTAAAAAATTCTCAAGTTTAAAAATAGTTTGACAGCACTAGATTTGCGAATTTATTTCGAGAAATCTAGTTAAAGAGTAGTACTATGTTTTAGTTATTAGGGGTAGCCTAATATACTCTCTTGAGCATGGTGAAGGTGGCTTGGTTACAAGATCAATCGTTTAGTTTTTATGGGTGCTTTTAATTTCGTGCACGCACTCAAGCTCGGGACGTCAGGCCTGGGCGAGTGGTCACTGCGCGTGTCCACACGCCGGTTGGCCAAGCCCGCGCTCGGTCTGGCTGTGGCTTGGCCACCCTTGGCTGCAGCGCCTGCTGCTAGCTGCTAGCCCAGCCAGTCACTGGCCACTGCACGCAACGACCACCCTGCCCCACCTGCTGCTGCTCGCACGGTCGGGCGGCGCTGCAGCCTACCTCTCCGTGCTGCCGTGATGCAGCCGCTACCGGTGTCGTCGCATCACCATCGCATCCACACCTGTCCCTTGTGCCTATACCCCGCTGCTGGCCCGATGAGATGCCACACGCACGTGGCCAAGATCGTTGTCGCCTTGCCATTAATGGCACTGCGCCGCGTGGGCCATGTCGGTCATGGATGCACGTGCCTGTCCGATTGCGTCCACATCCCGCCAAGGCAAGACCAAGATGAGCCCACTTGTTGCCTCGTCTCTCTCTCCCTCTGCTGCCGCCATCGAGCCGTGCCACCAAATTGCCCACCGAGTGATCACTTCCATTTAATTCAGCACGTCTGCGGCTTCACCATCAAGTTCTCTCGCTGCCCGATCCCACTCAGCCATGAAGAAGGCACTGCCAAGCTCCAATTTGGCACTTTTCCCACCACCGTGCCAATAAGGCCACGTCCGGCCGTGGATGAGGGCAGCCCTCCTACCGTCCCTCCTGAGCCAATTCACCTGCACCACTATCTTCGCCTTGCCTCCCTATCCACCTTGCGCACGCCAGTGGAACCGCTACCGCCTCCCATCGCCGCTGACGTGACCGCGCCACCGCGGTGCGCCGCTGCACGGCTCTACCGCACATGGCCACACCTCCTCCGCCATCCTCCACCCCAACCATCACCTTGGCTTGGTCCACGGTAGTCTACTGATGCTCCCTCGCTAGCTAGTTAGGTCCTTAGGTGCTCTGGTTCATCAAGGCAGCCACGCCACCATCGCGGACGGCCGCGCACCACCGTAGCTAGCTCCAACGAGTCCCACCGCCCCGTGTTGCCGCTTAGCGTAGCCGCTCGGGTCGGGGATGGTGACCGACCCTATAGGTGGGCCGGCACATGTCCCAGGTGGGCGGTGCGACCGTGCTGTGTCTCCGTCCGCCGTGCACTGAGCCACCGGGGGTGCGCGTGGGTGAATTAGGGAAAGGACGGGGGGTTAACTGAGAAGGTCTGAGTGGGGGAAATAGTGTTAGCACTTAGTTGTTATTTGGGAGAAGTGTGAGGCCTCTTTTGGAAAACTGCCAACGCGCGTGGGACTCTCGCGCCGTGGGCCGCCTCGCGAGCGGGCCGACCTCGCGTGGGCCGCACTAGCGGGCTGCTGCACGCGTGGTGCACGTGTGGGCCACGGTGGGCCAGTTCGGTTTCTCTTTTTCATAAAGAATTAGAAATAGCTTTATATTTTTATTCGAGAGCCAGTTTTGTTTCATTAATATAAAATCTTGTAGATGCCCAAAAATGGTGAAACAAATTTGGTTAGGTTTCTAAAATTGTGATCTATCTGTTGGTGTAATTAATGTATACATATACATGTTGATACTAGGGGATATTAAATCATTTGAGAGTGCTTAATATTATTAGATTAAATATTGTAGGAATTTTTGTGGTAAATTGGTGATAGCTTTAGTCCTGAAATTTTTATGGTAGCTTCATTGTATTATTATGTGCTCACTGTAATTTTTGTAGCCTTAGAATAGACCAGGCATTAGGGTAGTTAAATGCTCTTTGTTTCAATATACACTAAATCATTAGTAGAAATAAAGATATATCCTTAATTTGTAAAGCTAGGTGTTTGTTAGTTGAACCTAACACTTGCTTGGTAAAGATGATAGTTAGCTTAGTATCTTAGTCATTAGAGTTAGCTTAGTAGCTTTATATGCATATTCCTATTTTAATAGTTACTGTTGCCTAAATGCTAAATAGTTGCATCATCGTCATTGCATGCATATAGAGAATGAGTCAGCAGAGATCGTGACCACCGACGAGCACGAGTTCGAGGAGATCGTCGAGGAGTACGAGGAGGAGATTCTCGTGTAGGAGGAGGTCTCGGAGCCACCACCGACTGACTCAGTTGACACCGCGCCTGCCCAAGGCAAGCCCCGGTGCAAAACCCCTTATTTTTTATAATCACTGTATATATATGTTATGTGCATTTACGTTACATGAATCTTATGAAAACCACCTATATAGATATAACTGTCCTATAAGTACTACTAGTACATTTTCGAGTAGCTGCTATGTTTAGGTTTTCGATAGCGTGAGTAACCTGCCGTTACTCACAATAGGTGATTATTATAATTACTCTCAGGATAAAAATGATGAAAGGAAAATAGAGATCGAGCAGGGATATGGTATGGGTTATGGTGGGTGTGACGAGTTGTGTCCCTCGGCCATAGGGCTTCGCTTAGTTGCATTGTTTTCCCTGTCCGTGTCGACTGAGGACCGTCTGTTGCTGTGGATGGTAGTCAGGTCACAGACTTATTATCCTGAGCACAAACTTGCTTATGGAAGCAGGAAGGCTGGTTACGCTCTTGTCGTGGGTTCCGGCTCTTTCCAGACCGACTGATTGGAGGCGGAGAAAGGTGGAGGTCTAATCACCATATTGAGACCGGGTCTCAAGTATGGGGGCTTGGAGTCCAAGTTTGGACGGAGACCTAGACCCTGTGATAGGAGTGGAACGGGTTGGTCTTGTTTGTGCCTGGGGTACAAACGGGGCATGTGTTTCGGGGTACCAAGCTGGGATACATTGGTTTGTGTATCGCCGTTTCCGTGAAACGGTATGACTTGACTATGGTCAAGCACCGTAGTAAGAACTAGAATATGAAAGACGGTAAATTGAATCTGATTGCTCAACCCTTGCTTGAAAGTAGAACAGGTGCTTACCTAGAATGGTTAGCTAATGAAGTAATCATGACTGCTAATAAAAGTTGACTATAAGGATGAACTATTAGTAATGCTTTCCTCAAACAAAAAGAACACAGTAAACCATATTGCCTATCATACCCCTTGGAGTCGGGAAACTATTTCCTCTAGTCGCGTAAGTCTTGCGAGTACATTACGTACTTAGGGTTTATTTTACCCCTGTTGCAGGTGCAGCTTAAGGAGTAGCTCTTGTGTGGAGGATTCTTCTGGTGGGCACAGATGGATCCTCGTATCGTTTCCGTTAGACGTTTATTTCAATTCTGCTATTTAATTATCGCACTCTGAACTCTGGTATTGTAATAAATAATTTCTGAGAACTCTTTTTGTATGAAATGGACTAAGTATTGTAAACTCGTACTCATTATTGGATTCTGGAGGTCAAACATGGATTGATTCGAGTTCTCCCATGGGATGTGCTCGACGGAACTGTCCGATGTAGCTAACTTTCGGGGTGCTTAGTGTCTAGCGGAAGATGAGCGCATTCGAAAGCGTGTTATTTTCAGCGGTTCTGCCACAGATGATAACTCGCCTAGATAATTAAGGACGCATTTTAGTCTCGACCGACCCCGAAGGGACGGTTTCCACCTCGCCAGACCCCTCGGGCACGGGCCCTGTGTCGCCCGACCCCGAGGGTACGGGAGCCGTCTCGCCCCAACCCTCGGGCGCGGGCTCCGTCTCGTCCAACCCCTTGGGCACAGGCTCTGCCTCGCCCGGCGGGGTCCGTACCACCCCAACCACTATGGGTCCAAGCGTATGGGCCTGGGTCTAGCCTCTGGCACCAGAAGGGGCACGGGCACGCCTTGACGTAACCCGTGGCCACGCCCGGGGGTTCGCATCGCCAACAGTGACGGATGCGTGGGCGCTGCGCTGCCTAATCCCCGTACGGCCATTGACAAGCACGTCGGTTCACCACGCCGTGACGGGATGGAACGCCACGACTAGCTGATGACGTTGAGGCATAGCACCAGTGATGAACTGGAGCCCGACGTGGAGCCGTCCCGGGCACCGTCTACAGCGTCGACGGGACCCGCATAAAGGAGAAGAAGAACGCGGCGGTCCTAGAGGGCTTCTTCTCCTCGATTTTCTCACTCTTTCTCTCCTTTCTTCTCTTTTTCTGATGTAACTTGCATCTTCTCCTTCTTCTATAAAAGGGGGAACACAACGTAACACAACACGGAGGGACATAGGCACGAGCACACGGCTGAGCAGCTGAATAAACTCTCAGCACTTTTTAATCCTTCCACCAGAGACCTGGGATCCGCTCCCTCTCTCACCCATCTGTAACCCCTACTACAGACAGTGCCAGTAACACGAGCAGCAGTAGACTGGACGTAGGGACGTTCTGCCCGAACTAGTATAATCCTTGTGTCCTCCGAGCACACCATCCGGGCCAGACGCGCAAACTAGAAATTTACTGGCCGGTGATCCAAAACACCGACACTTACGTAGCGAGAGTGAGATCAAGACATGAGGTATAAATATGTTAATATTTCTGTATCTTGTACACGCAGAAAATGGTAATTATACATTCTGCTTGCACCTGCATGATGTATAGCCGGCATGGCAGATCTATCGGGCTACTAACTAGTTCATTAATTCATGGCGCCGTCGGGTATGATCCGTATGATCCCGGGGGTAAATTAGTTCCAGGGTAGCCATTCACAGCTGTTTGCTTCATCTTCCTGCCTGCACCTGCACCTTTACCACCGATGGAACATGCATGCATGCATGTATTTAGATCATATGAACAAATGCTAGCTGTGTTCGCTTAATATAAAGCTGAGGGAGGGACAGTACACATGCAGCAACGCCACCGCGTCTACTACGTAGGTATAGATAGGTACGTACCGTAGGCTTCTGCTGCAGCTGCAACGAACGATGAGGCCAGGAGGAGAGATGCCACAAGAAAGCACAGCAGCAGCGCCACCGTCCCGGGTTTCCTCGCCGGCGCCGCCATCGCCATGTGATGTGTGCAGCGCGGTTAGGAGGACCGTCGCGTCTCGGCCAATTCCTACAGTCGTTGCTGGATGCACTCCCAAGTACAGTGGCGTGGTCTGTTGGTCCTGCGGCGGGCAACACTTATTTATAAGCTAGCTAGCGTTATATTCAGCTAGCTAGCTAACACCAATGCAAACCACGACCAAGCTATGGTCAAGCTCTGCGTGCTGTGCTGACCATATTATATGATGGGTACGTAACATCAGCTAGCCATACGTGTGCACTGTAAAGCGACTTGTCTAATTTTCCTCATGTCATCAGTTATTACTATATGAATAGTAAATACGATTACGAGAGCATGCATATATTAATTACCAATTGCAATGGACTACTAGCAAAGTCAGACCAACCTATAATATATACATCACTGGATGTTTTCAGTGAGCCGCGGACTACAGTTTCCTCCCCGAGACCCCGACTTCAGTAGCTCATCACAACTAGCAAGGAAAATACTCCATAATTAACGAGAAGCAAAAGAGTACAGATAGATGTAAACTCAGCTCGTTTGTGAAATTGAATGAGTCAGTCAAAATGTGTGCGTGTGCATCATGCTACAAGTGGTCTCAACTCTCAAGCTATAGGTTCGTCAACCGTGTATATTGGAACAAGTCAGTACTCCTTAGTTGTCAATGCCTGCAAGTGCAACATTCTATAATCTACACGCGTGGTCCACACCACAGCTGTATCTATCTTCGCTTCATCCGATCGGGTTCATTCGTGCCGCCAAATTGGAACGCTGACAACGGCTGTGTCGACTCGTCAGTTTCCAGCTCGCTGTATGGACACAATAAGCAGATGAACACCATGTCTCAGATGTCTGGAGCCTTAAAGTCCCACCCAGGGTACACTTCTTCCTTTGGTTAGTAATTAAGAATAGGGCACTAACTAGAGATAATTTAGCAAAAAGAAGGAAAGTGAAGGATGAGAATTGTCTTCTTTTGCTTAGAAAAGGAAACTATTCACCATGTGTTCTTTGATTGCGTGGTAGCTAAACAATGCTGGAGCATTATGTCTGATATTCTTGGTTGTAGAGTAGGGGAAAACATGATGGAAGTAGGAAAGTACTGGTTAAGAAATAAGAAGCATGTTCTTGTGAATATGATCATCTCTGCTGTTATTTGGTCTATTTGGAAATTAAGAAACGATCTCGGTTTTTAGAGGATTGGTTGGAGAAGCATGGAAATGCTACTTTTCATGATTACTGGGCTTCTAACAAATTGGACAATTCTCTGCCCGTCCGACAAGAAAGAGTTGCTGGTGGAGTATATCAACAGAATCAAGTCAGCAGCAGGCAAGATGCTATGGCTTCCATATACGAGCCCCTAAACACCACCTGAAGTTCCATAGAGGAGATCTTGAAGCAGTGAACCGGGGTAACAATGAAGCTGAAGACCTGATGACTAGCATGGACATTCCCTGGTGGAGATCTCTGAACATTTCGCTCAACCTGGCTTGAAGTCGTCTGAATCGGTGTTTCGGTTGATTAGCTGTTTAGTTGTCGAGCTGAGTTTACCTAGCTTGTTTTGTTCTTTTAATTGAACTAAGTCCCGGTGAAAAATTCGGTGACGCTTAAACTCCTGTGCTGTAATGACTCATGGTCTTTTGATATTAATTGAAAGGCCGGGGTGCATGCCCTTAAACTCTAAAAAAACAATAAGTAGATGCACCAGGGGACCGTGTGTCCACTGTCCGCCATGCCTTCTCGCGTTGCCGACCATGACGAATCACTACGGACCACGTTCACGCGCGATGGGTCGCGCGTTCAGGGAACATGGGACCTGTCATCTTCCTCACGCTCGTCTCCCTCCCCGGGACCCTCCTCCACTACCCCCTCCCCCACCTTCCACCACTGGCGGTCGGCGGCTCCCACTGCGTCGTTCACCGCCCGCCACGGCCCATCGACCCCGCCCTCCCCTAAAGACAAGGAAGATTGCCGGCATCGTCCACGTCCTCACCCCACCCCCACCCTCACCCCTTGACCTACCCACCCTAAACTCGGGGCAGGGCGCCGGTGAGCTCCGCCACGATGCCCCCACCGTCGGTCATGCCCAACCGCCTTCCCCCGCAGTCTCGCCCACATCCACCGCCGTGTCATGGTCACCGGGCCCCAAAATCCTCCTTCTAAGCCCGCTGAGATATGATTCCCTAACCGGCCTCCAGAACCCTAACACCGGCGAAGTCCTCGTCTCCGACGCCGACGACCTCCTAGCCGAAATCCTAGCCTCCTTCTTCTTCCTCTCTGGCGCGGGCACAACCTCTTTCTTCTTCCTCCCCGTCGGAAGCGTGCGCAGGCGCGGGCGCGTGGGTCGTGCGCTCGGCGCGTTGCGTGACTCGTCACGTGATAGAAATTCTGAATGACTACCCATTTTTTTAGAGGTGGGTAAAATGCATTTTAGAGACAGTTGCTTAGCCTATATATCTCTAGCCAAAGGCCTCTGAAAACTAGTGGTTTCCAATGTCTACCAAGCAAAGTCTCAAGAAACGGTTTATAGTGACACTTCACTTTAGTCAACCGTCTTTAAAGTCAACTTGAGTTAACCACCTCATAAACCGATTTCTATAGGCGATCAAGAGTATGTTTGAATGGGCTATACTACAAATTATTTTGGTACGTATATATAAATATATACTCCTAATTGGGCTATCTTTAAAGTTTAAAGTCCCCGTGAAATGCAATCCGTCGCTTGGTTTCAGTCAGTGTCGGTGCGATACTACGAATTACTTTGGTACGTTTATATAGAGCAAAGTCAGCAAGAACGATCAAGAGTATGTTTGAATGGGCTGGTATATGAAGTCACCAGCAAGAATTAATAATGATACTCTGGAAAACAACAACTAACTAATCAGACAAATGGACAAAAGTCATGTGGTAAAAGTCAAACAATGGACACAGCAAGAATATATAGTCGCTTTAGGCCTTGTTTGGTTGAGCTGTGGCTGTGGGAAAAAGCTGCTGTGGGCTGTGAGCTGTGGAAAAGCTGCTGTGGGCTGTGAGCTGTAGAAAAGCTGAAAGCTGTTTGGTTAAACAAGTATAAAATATACCTTTTATCTTTATCTCTCTTGAAACAACTATGGAAGAGCTTTTTATTCCACCAATTTCGAAAAGCAGAAAGCCAAAAGCCAAAAGCAGGGTCAACCCAGCTTTCAAAAATGAACTACGGAAAAGCAGCTGCTTCTGAAAAAGCACCCTTCAAAAACAGCCCCTTTGGTTGGGCTTTTGGCTTTTGGGGCCAAAAGCCAAAGCCAAAAGCCCAACCAAACAGGGCCTTAGTGCACCAGTCATGTGGCAAAATTCACTCACAGTTTAGTCTACGCGCGCAATGAGTTAACACTCTAATTTGTAGCCTCGGGTATCGGGAAGCTAAATTTGTGTACAAATTAGAGTGTTAATTTATTTTAATAGTTTCATAAGTCAATAATTTAGATTAAAAGTCAAAGTCTTCATATTTTTCATGACCGTAGGAGTTGGTAATCAAGATATATTATTGTCTTTGTTCTGAAACAAAAGGGTTCAGGTTTGTTCTAAGTCAAATTATACTAAGCGTGATTTATACCGAAAATTATTAACATCTACCGCAACAAAGGCGTATATTATAAAAATATAGTTCATATTATATCCGATGATGCTAATTTGATGTTGCAACTATTATTCTCATTTTCTATATATTTGGTAAAACTCAGCACAGTTTGACTTGTAATGAAGCAGCACTCACAGCTACTCTACCTGTAGTCCAAGAGTCATGGGGCCAAAAAGAAGTCACGATCAAGGGTACGTTGATTCTCTGATCTAGAGTTTAGTGGCTAAAGTAAACTTTAGAACACTTTAGCTCACTTGTGCGATTAAAGTTTTTATGAGATGGTCTAAACTTTAGACCGCACCTTAGACCTCTATCTTGAGTCTCAAAGGCTAAAATGGTCTAAAATTTAGTGGCTAAACTTGAGACCATGAGATCTAAATAGGGTGTACCTGCGTAATATAATGAGGGTGAGGCCAAAAAACTCAGTCAGAATGCTTCGCTGTCAAGACAGGTGTATGAAGCGAAGTCAGCGATATTGAAGTATTCTTGCAGGCAGGAATGTTCATCTCATCTCTGAAACCAGGGATGACACAGCAGATATGCTCTTTGTTTGTATGTCAACTCTGAAACAGGGATGACACAGCAGACATGCTCTCTGTTTGACTGTTTCTACGTCTAAGTTATTAGATTAGACTAATCCATCAACACGTGCTCTTGCACGGGTCAGAATCATATTGGTTAATACCTTGGACTAATAAAAATTATTTATATTAAGTTGTATGTTGTTTCTCTGTTCATTTTTTCTAGCACAATAGACATAATAGATACTCTGTAATTTCTATCCAGTTATGAAAAACTATCTATTACTAATATTTTCTCCATCCATGTCAATAGTTTTTCTCTTTGAATGGCACCTATGTGTATCTTCAACATGCATTAACTGAAATCATAGTTTAAATTATGGTGGCTCTTGTTGCAGCAGATATCCTATGATGTGATCAATCTAACTTTTAACTTTTAAGTTCCAATCTTATTGATTACTATAGATTTTTTTATCCTCAGGGCAAGTTGGAGCTCTTTATTTCTTTTATTAAATCTCATTTTGTTAAACTAAGGATTTTAGGGCTCAGACTGTGCTCTTAAGTACTACAATGGCATAAACAGTCATTTGAAGTCTACACCACATCACTTAAGCTCAGCAGTAGGGTTTAAAATGACATCTAGGAAAAGGTAGCCATGCTAAACTCAAGAGGATATAAAGATTTAATCTTTATAATGACTATTTACTCCAAAGGAATCTCAATGGCCAGTAATATATAGCCACATGTAATCCGCACTAACCTCTACCGCTTCTCAAGAGTTAAGGAATTATATGTGCAGTAATGGTTACAATATCGATGTGCGAATGTCAAACATTTAAGTTATAATGTATAAATATATCTAAATT